ACATTAATGCACTCTGTTTTTCTGTAAAGTTTCTTTTCTTATCTTTTCTTATTTTCTTATCTTTCTTATCTTTATTTATTTATTTTTAAAATACTTTATTCTTGTGTGATTTTTTGTGTGATTGTATATTTTTGTGGATTTGTATATTTTATGCAACCATTGCACCAATTGCGTGTAAAAACCTACCTATAAACCAATAAACCAATAAATTCTGATTGTGAATTCTGATTCTGTAAAGAAATGTTAAACTGTCAACCACACAGCTTTCAACTTTTTTAAGTTATCTGTCTATGCCCAGTACATTACGGACAGTCCAAAGGCGGGAGTCAGAGTTGCGGGTGAGCTGCGTGGATCAGCTGGCGGTCTTGTGAGCCAGGCTGATCAGAGTTGTGGTTCTGAAGTTCAAACTCTCTACTGTGTGGTGTCCGCTGGTGCAGGTTGCAAGAGGAAAGGCGTTTCACTGGTTGCTTTGTAGAGTTAACAGTTCTGTGTTAACGTTGCGTTCCTCCGGTAAAGTCAGCTGGCAAACTTTCTCTTTAAAGATGCAGTCTCCCGTTAGTGGTGCACTGACCAGGGATCGCAGTACAAAGCAGGCTCTTATGCCATGCTATAATCCTTTGTCGTGCGTCTTCTCCAGTGTTTGAGGCTGCCTGTGTAAATTGGGGGAAAGTTGTATTGTTCTGATCTAACATGACTATAATGACTTAATGACAAGATAGATTTTGCTGTTTTAAATAGATCAGTCAGAGTTTCAAAAACCTTGGTAGAATTGAAACAATTTGCAAGGAAATGTGATAAGATGACTACTAACTTAACTCTCACAGCAGCAATTATCTAAGACATCAGTTGTCAGTCTTTTCAGAAGGAGACCATCAGAAGACCTAGATGAACACACAAAGACTAGACTGGACTACCAAAATACCAGGAATACCTATGAAAAACAAAGCCAGACTATCGTATAACAGTGTAGACTATCAAAGACTGGGCTAGACCCTCAAAAGGCCTTCTTAAACCCCACTAGACCAACATGGACCATCAAACAGGATGAGCATAGACCAACAAAGACCGGTCTACAACATGAAAAGACCAGTATAGACCCAAACCAAGGTATTGGACATAACTAAAATAATAATATTTTGACATGAGCACAGACATTTTTGGAGAGCCATGTCTCTACCAAATGTAATGGCAATCCATCAAATAGTTGAGATGCTTCAGTCTAGGCCAAAGTTGTAGCATGACTAAAAACAACTTGTCCAAAGGTTATTGGCTATATACCCAGCATACAGCTGTTTTCAGCCTAAAAGCAGGGGTCAAGAAACTGTGTGAAGCATTATCAAAGAGCAAAGTGGACAGTGCACAGTGGTAACACTCGGTTTACGCAACTTCCCAGTAAATTCATGAGCAACTGTGGGCTTTGTAGGTCAAGCTTACTCCTCAAACCTGGGATACAAACACAACAAATACAACACCTGATTGACAAATCCATCCATATGTGGACTTTATCACTCTTCATACTATTTCATCTGACCTTGACGTTGGGCGACACTAGATGGAGTCTTTGGAGTGACCTGGGCTCACGTTGCAATCTCAGACTAGCAGCCAGTGCTGACTTCTATGTAATTTGCACATGATGACGACTTTTCTTTAACTTTACATGAATGGTTTTGGTTAACTAAGACTGACCAATACCTATACCATTTTTGTGTGATGCAGGGTTATCATAAAAAACAGACCTAAAAGGTTTAATCCGTGGCATTACATTACTCAAAAAAGCCCAATAGTTGCATGTGAAGACAATTAGTAAGTGGAGTAGTAAGGTGAGCTATTACTATCTAGTTTACCAGTAATGTGTGGTAGTCATGGTCATTCTGTTGAGTAGATCAGACCACCAGAGGCATTCAGTGAAATGCTTCAGGGTGAGTGGGGAACTAACATGTCAGCAACAACAGATAAGACCTCTGATTCTAATTAGATACCACGTGTTGGCTGTAATTTGGATGTAGCCTTTCACAAAGGTCTGGATGTTAACTGGAGGTCAATCTTTGTCAGGACTGTCTTTGCTTGTCAGCTATCATTCTTGTCATGTATTAACAGATGCTTGTGAGCACCACAAGATGATGAGAGAGCATGATGGGATCATTCTCTTGTTTGCAAGTCACGTGCTATGATGAAGCAGACTGCTTTCACGTACAGCGACAAGCTGTGTGTGCTGTTAGCAGACAAAAACAAGAATCTTTCACTCTATCAATCAGACATTGCAACTCTGAAGACTACCAGAGTGGTCCAGTCCCTTCTAGGGGAATTCACTGAGTTCCTAATTGAAATAGATTATTATGGATCATTGTGAAATGCCCTTACTACTCCCACTACTGTGGAAGACTGATAACTGCAGTTCCTATCTAAAATTGCATTGTAGTGAGAGAAAAAAATCAATAAAGAGGGTGAGAGTGAAGGCTAAACAGTCACTTTGCTGAGTTAAGGTTTGAATTGTGACACTTTAGTTGACAATTATTGGCTCTCCTCAACTTCAAATTATTATTGAATACTTCACAGAAGTCTGCAACCTCACAGATGAGGAGTGGTGAAAGGAAAGCCCATTCTGATGGAGACAACAAAACCTGAAATCTGTCTGTCAAGTCAGATCTTTGAATTTCTTTAAAGGTTACATTCAATTCAATTCAATTTT